AATAGTTAATCTGGGATATCTGACAAGATACTTGTATGACGTTGTTAAATGAAAAAAACCAAAACCCTAAAACTAGTGCCAGACATAGTGGCTCACGCCTATAATTCCAGCACTTGGGAGGTTGAGGCAGGAGGATCTCTGGGAGTTTGAGGGCAGCCTGAATTACAGAGTGAGACCCTGTCTCAAAAAAAAAAGCAAGCGGGCCGAGGATTTAGCTCAGTGGTTTCGTCATCTGCTGCACAAGCGCAAGGACCGGAGTTCAATCCCCGGTACCAAAAAAAAAAAAAGCAAGTTGCAAAACTATTTGCATGGCTTTAAAAATAACTTCAATCCCTTGCCTTGAATCCCAGTACAAAACAAAGCTAAACAAAAAACAGGCATGGCATAATCTCATTTTTGTAATTATTTATTCTAAATAGATCTAGGTATCATATATATATATATATATAAAACAAAATAATTGTAAGGATATAAGACAGCAGTGGTTGTAGCTTAGGAAGTGTGAACTCATTACCATTTTTAAGTTCATTTTCTTTTTGGCAATGTCGGAAATCTAACCTAGGGCCTCTCCCCTATGCTAGCCAAGTTCTCTGCTCTACTGAGCTGTCTTCAGCCAAGCTTCTCTTTTTTCTTGATGTACTTTCTGCTGTGTTGTAATGAGCAAATGTTTTTATAAAAAAAACATTTTCAGGTATTGTGGTTCCATTTTAACAGTCTTACTCTTTAGAGATGGAAAATGAAAATTTTATGAATGAAATGATACCTGGAATTTGCTTTGTAAAAATCAAGGATGGGACCCTGGGAAACCTGGCCATCCACATGCAGGAGACTGAAACTAGACCCTTATCTCTCACCATCTACTAAACTAAAATCAAAATGGATCAAAGATCTAAATATTAAAACAGAAACACTTAACCTGCTGAAAGATAAAATAAGTAAAACTACTGAAGACATAGGCATAGGTGAGAACTTTCTGAACAGAACACCAATTGCATAAGGAAACAATGAACAGAGTGAAGAGACAACCTATACAATGGGAAAAAAAATTTTTGCCAGCTATTCCTCAGACAGAGACTAACATCTAGAATATACAAAGAACTCAAAAAAAATTAGACCTCGCAAAATAAAAGACCCAATCAAAAAATGGGCAACTGAAATGAACAGACACTTCTCAGAAGAAGTACAAATGACCAATCAAGATACGAAAAAAAATATATGAAAAAATGTTCATCATCTCTGGGAATTAGAAAAAAGCACATTAAAACAACACTGAGATTCTATCTAACTCCAGAAAGAATGGCCATCCTAAAGAAATCAAAAAATAAATGCTGGAGAGGCTATGGGGAAAAAGGAACCCTTCTACCTTGTTGGTGGGAGTGTAAATTAGTACAACCATTACAGATATCAGTATGGCAGTTCCTCAAAAAACTAAAAGTATGAATTCCATTCGACCCAGGTATTTCCCTTCTAGGCATCTTCCTGAAAGAGTTAAAGACATCATATTAAAATGGCATGCGCATATCCATGTTTACAGCAGCACAAATCACAATAGCTAAAACTTGGAAGTGGCCTATATATCCATCAACAGATGAATGGACAAAGAAAATGTGACATTTATATACCATGTAGTACTACTCTGCCATAAAAGATAAACTTGAGTCATCTGTAGGAAAATGGATGCCCTTTGAGACCATAATGTCAAGTGAAATAAATCAGACACATGAGTTTAAATATTGCATGGTCTCTCCTGGGTGTGGTGGCACACACCTATAGTCTCAGTGCTTGGGAGTCTGAGCCAAGAGGATCGCTGTGAGTTCAAGGGCAGCCTGAAGTACACAGTGAAACCTTGTTTCAAAAAACTCCCCCAAAACCAAAACCAAAATGCTGCATGGTCTCTCTTATATGAGAAACCCAAAATGTAAATAGAGAGTAAAATATGAGATAGATAATAGAAAATAGCAAGATAGGTCTTTTGCATGTGGAAAGGGGACCAAAAGATGGAGGCAGGCAGGAGGCAGGGGAGGGGACTGAGATAAAGAAGGAACTGAGATGTGCTGTGTGTATGTACCGACTTCCCATGAAGACCGTGACCATTACGTGCGATGTACAAGAAAGGGAAGGGATCCAAGGGGTGGAGGGAGGGGAGGGAGGGGGAAAGGAAGGGTATGAAAAAGAATTCACGTGTGTTATGTACTTAGGACTCCCCACCCCACGAGGAATGTCATCATTTTGGACTGCAAACATGTACTAAGAAACATTTTTTTAAAAAATAAAATTTGCGCCAAATTTTTTTTAAAAATCAAGGATAAGACAAAAGTAAGTAGAGACATAGATAAAATGAGATTGCCCATGATTTGATAAATTACTGAAGCTGGGTGATTGGTACATGAGGATTCATTATGCAAATTTCTCTTCCTTTGTTGTATTTGAAATTTTCCACTAAAAATGTTTAAGTGGGGTGTGGCAGTACACTACTGTAATCCCAGCATTTGGAGGCTGAGGCAGGAGAACTGCTGTGTGTTCAAGGCCACCCTGGGCTACACAGTGAGTTCAAGGCCAGCCTGGACTATATAGTGAGACCCTGACTCCAAAAAAAAAAAATTGAAAAGTAAGATGTTAGGCCCTATTTCCAGAGACCTTGCTCTGCGTGTGCGTGTGTGTGTGGGGGGGGTGTGTGTGCACAGATGGGGCACTAGGGATTGAACACAGGGCCTTTGCTTTGAGCTATATGCCCAACCCTTTTTAATTTTTATTTTGAGATAGGTTCTTACTCAGTTGTTAAGCTGCCAAAGCTGGGCATGAACTTGTGATCCTCCTGCCTCAGCCTCTTAGAGTGCTGGAATTACAGATGTGTACCACTGCACTCAGCTAAGACCTTGTATTTTTAAGTATTTCCCAAATTGAAGGGGACCAAGAGTTGGAGGGAAGGGGGATTGAAGAGAGGGGAAGTAAAAAGAATTACAATGTGTTATATACCACCAACTCCCCACAAAGAATGTATTCTCTATGTACTGCAAACATATACTAATAAAAATTTGAAAATTATTTTTAAAATTCCCAAATGATTCTGATATACAATCAGCTACTGTACTACATAAAAGGATATAGTTAATATACTTTAACTACAATTTTAATAATTATTTTCCATATAATTCAACTAACTGATAGTGTATATACAGAATTTGGCTAGTTTTTGTCCCCAGCTCCAGGGAAATAACCTCTACATCCTATGTCTATGTTATTCGTGGTGATCTCCTAAGACCACACCTGGGTTTATACTAACTAGATGACTCAGGGTGGTGGCTGGGCAGACTAGAACAATGAACCATGTGATTCGAGGGTCCAGGCTTTGAGACAGGTATTATCAACCTGACCTCTGGGGAGGGGAGGGAAGCTAGAGATTTGAGGTCAATCACATAGCCAGTGGTTCAATACATAAAGAAATTACAATGAGAATTCTGGACACCAAGCTCGCCTGAATAATCCTGTATTAATGGGCTGAGAGTGTGCTATGTCCTGGAGACTCAGGAGCTTAGGGTGTGGGACCCTCCCAGACCTCGCCTTATACGCCTCTTCCTTTGGCTGGTCCTGATTGTATCCTTTATAATACAATCATAATGGTAAATAGAGTACTTTCTTGAGTTCTGAGAGTCATTCTTATGAGTCATCAAAACTTGAGCAGGTAGTAGAAACACCTGAATTTTTATCAAGTTGAACAGAAGTCCAGGTGGCCCGGACCCAGGAGTGTGTAGCTGGTAACTGAAGTGAGGGCAGGCTTGTGGGGGAATGTGCCCTTAACCTGTGAAATCTGGCCTGATTCTGGGTAGTGCCAGAGCTAAACTGCAACTAGGGAGTCATTTTAATGACTTTCTTCGATTATAAAGTGGGGACGACAATCACCAAGCCTGAGATAAAGATTAAATGAGATTAGAAACACTGAGCACAATGTTTTGCACATGGTAGATGGAAAGTCAAATATCTGCCTGGCATGGTGGCACATACCTGTAACCTGAGCACTCTGGGAGGATGAGAAAGGAGAATTGCAAGTTCAAGCCCAGCCTGGGCATTGCAGTGATTTAGCAAGACCCTTGTCTCAAAAAACAAAAAACAAAAACAAAACCAAAACAAATTAAAAAGGGCTATGGATGTAGCTTGGTGCAAAGGCTCTGAGTTAAATTCTCAGTACCAAGGGGAAAATTTAAAAAGTCAAATATCTCATGGAGATTAAACCTGTTATGCACTTGCTCTTTTTTTTTCTCTCTTTCCCAGTATTAGGGATTGAACCCAGGGCCTTCACAGTGAGCTGTATTCCCAGTCCTTGTTTTATTTTTTATTCTGAGACAGGGCCTTACTCAGTTGCTAAGTTGCCAAAGCTGGGTTTGAACTTGCCATCCCCCTGCCTCGGCTTTCGAGAGTGCTGGGATTATAGGCACATCAGGCTATGTACTTCTTAATGTAAATTTTCTGTATGGAATAATCCTTAATATCCTGTTGAAATAGAAGGAACAGTGAAAATAGGAGGTTTTTGGTGGAAATGACAAGTAAAAGATGGAGGAATTACAAAATAAAGGGCTCAGGTGGGGTAGATGTAACAGCGAAAAGAGCAACAAGGGAATTCTAGGGTAATCGAGGTGAGAGGAAACCCAGGATAGGAGAGGCACCTTGGGAAGACATATGCGCCAACATTTAGGTAGCAAGGGCTCACTGTGATGTTGTTTAAGGACCTAGAGATGCCACTGAACCTTGGCAGTCCTGAGGGGAATCACTAAGAGAAAAGAACATTCCTCTGTTCCCCCAAATCCCGGGTCGGCAGGAACAGGAAAGGGAAGCTTCTCTGGTTCCCAGGGGAGTATAAACAGAAGGTCACCCTGTGGCCCTGAGCCCTGGGGAGAGGATGGGTTGGTAGGGATGCTTGGTGTGCAGCACCTTCGCTCTTCTGCCACTCAGCTCTCATGCCTTCTGTCTTCCACCCATCTGTCCTTCCCCACCCTCCAGATTACCTGTTGTTGGTAGAAGTTGCCGGCACTTTGTTCAAATCGCTCATCTTTGGTTTCTACAGTTTTTCCCAATTTTTGCAGTACCTGGGGACATAAGACAGAAAGGCCCATAAGGTTAGAGCCAAATCTCTCTTACCTGTTGGCCACATGTGCCCCTGGCTCCTCTCATGGTCTTACAGTAGATGCAACTAAAGGTTCATACTCCTCTCAGCCCAACAGAATTAGGAATATAATATGTTGCTGACAAAATTTTTGGTTCTTCTCAAATTGGGGTCTGGGGGTATGCAGCAGTGTGGTAGAGGTTATATATATCAGTATTTATCAGCTGGGTGTGTGGCACAGGCCCATAATCCCAGCACTTGGGAGGCTAAGGCAGGAGGAACATCACCAGTTCAAGGCCATCCTGGGCTACCTAATGAGTTCAAGACCAGCCCAAACTAAATAGTGACACCCTGTCTCAAAAAGGCAAAACAAAGCAAAAATGTAAATAAACAAGTAAATAGACAGTGGTTTTTCATTTGTTTTTGGTACTGCTAGGGACTGAATTTAGGGCCTTGTACAAGCTAAGCACATCCTCTACTACTGAGCTGCACCTCAGCCATAAAGTGTGTGTGTCTGCTTATTTATTGCGGTGCTAAGGATTGAACACAGGGCCTCCTGTAGGCTAGGCAAGCACTCTTCCACTGAACTAGCATCATATAAATATTTGTGTGTGTGTGTGTGTGTGTGCGCGCGCACGTGCAGGCATTGAAGATTGAACCCAGAACCTTTGCACTGAGTTAATCTCCAACCCCTCACCCTCTTTTTTTCCCTCACCCTCTTTTTGAGACAATGTCTTACTAAGTTCAGTTGCCCAGGTTGGGCTTAAGCTTGTCATCCTCCTGCCTCAGCTTCCTAGAGTACTGAGACTGTAGGCCTGTGCCATCAGGCTTGGCTTAAAATGTTCTTTTTTAAGGGGGAAGGAAGAGGGCATTATATTAAAACAAGGTTGAAGAAGAAGCATGTAAAATGTGCTTTTAAGATAAAAAAAGAACCTTCAATACATTTTTCATTTAAGAGACCCTCTTCCAGCCATAGCCACATATCCTTCTTAGAGATGAGGTTAGAGAGGTAGGTAGGTGGTTCTTTGCTCACTGAGGCTCTTGTGGGAACTTTGAGAAGCCCTTATAAAATACACTTGAAACTTAGCTAGAAATGAATGCTATCCATCTGTCTCCTCTTAACTAGGAAACATGACAGCCAACCATCACATGAGTCTCAGTGTTAACGCAAAAGAGATGGTGATAGAAAAGACTCTGTCCTTAGAAGGGACACTCACTTGTTAAAAGGTGATTACCTGTGGTAAGAAAACCCTGAGTCTTCTACTGTAACCCTTGGAAGAAAGCACCACCATTTTCCCAGGCCCAATTCAGAATGTCAGAAGTTGCCTTCAACTACTTCTCCCTCAGTCCACATCCACCTCGAGAAACCGTCCTGTACTCTCTGGTCTCACTGCCACAGGCTTATTCCATGTGCTCATTGTTTTTTACCTGGCCTGCTCCAATAGGTCTACCATGTTGTGTTTAAAACTGTTTAATGAGTCCTCACTAACTTGCTCAATAAACTTTTATTAAATGTCCATTACGTATCCATTAAGTGACAATTCACACTCTAGCATGCACAAAGGTCCAAATAATCTGACGCTTCATTAAGTGTCAGCTCTCTTTGTTCCTTCTCCCTGCAGGTCTCCCTACATGACAGCTTTCTTAATTTCCTGAAGAAGCCACATTATCACTTGTGATAGATGCTGTTCTTTCTTTCTGCAATGCCCTTGTCTGCCAGGCAACTGTCTCAAAGAAACCCAGTTCATACTGCAGATCCATTATAACACTTATCCATATCTACTTCATCCCATTAATCAAGTTAGTCCTTCTCTCCTAAGTGCTCACAACCTCTGTCTTCTATATTTCTATCATTATTTTATTATTTGTATTTATTTGTCTATATCTTCTTCCAAATTGAGACTCCTTAAGGATTGAGCCCTTGTTTTACTTATTTAGATCTCTCCGTATCCAGCCAATAGATGCTTGGTCATTTAACAGGAAGGAGTGAGGCTGATACAGGAAAGGACCATGGGCTGGTCCTTGAAGTAGGATTTTGATAGACTGAAATCGAATATTAAGAGTGAGAGTGGAAAGAGGATTCCAGGCAGACAAGAGTATTAGCAAAGTCATGGGAGTAACTTTATAGAAGCTTCCTGAGATGGTTCGACATGGCTTATTTAGGGTGTTTCATGGGAAATGGAGTTAGGAAAAATGGAGTCTCATTATGAAGGACTTTGAATCACATCCAAGAGTGTTCAGGTCTGGACATGAAAGTAGAAAGGAGACCATTAGACAAAAGGAAGGGAACAGGGAGAGGGAGGGCAGAGGAAGGTAATGCAGGGGTGATATGATCAAAGTATGCTATATGCAGGTATGAAAATGCCACAATGGAACACAATTTTGTATATAATAAATATGCACTAATAAAAAAGAACTGAGAAGGCGGGGGATTTAGCTCAGTGGTTCTGCCACCTGCCTTGCAAGCGCAAGGACCAGAGTTTGGTCCCCAGCACCCCCCAAAAAAGAACTGAGAATTTGTATAAGTTAAAACTTAAAGCCAGGCAAGACGGTGCACACCTATAGTCCCGGCTACTCAGGAGGCTGAGGCAGGACGATTGCAAATTCAAGGTCAGCCTGAGCAGCTTACTGAGACCCTGTATCAAAAAAATAAAGGAGGGGCTGGGGATTTAGCTTAGTGGTTCCGGTGCCTGCCTTGCAAGTGCAAGGTCCTGAGTTCAATCCCCGGTACCAAAAAAAAAAAAAGGAGTGAAATATAGCTTAATGTGAGGCTCTGAGTTAAATCCCCAGTACTGGGGAGGAAAACAAAAAGTCCCCAAGTCTGGGGAGTGAGAAGGCTAACTGTGGAGTCTCCGCCCACTCCATCCATCCGCCCACTCCCTGTACTGGGGGGATGGAACTCACATCCTCGCGCTTGCCAGGCAGGTGCTGACACCACTGAGCTAAATCCCTGGCCCCCGAGTGTCTCCAATCTTGCTGCAAGGGCAGGGCTATCGTCTCTCACTTGCAGAGCTCTCTCTGTAGTAGTTAATATCAAGGGTCTTGGAGTCAGACTTGAACTGTTAGGGTTTGGATCATAGAGGAAGTAGGTAACTGCAAGGATATAATGGGAGCATGAGTTTACAGAGTCTTCTTTCACCCGTTAAGATATATTTATCTCCTGGAATTGCTGGGAGGATTAAATGAGGTTATGCATTAAATTGCCTTCTCAGTGCTGCCTGATACATATTTGCTATCATTATGTCTAGTTTTACTCCTTTGCTTATAAAGGCCTGTATTTCCTCTTCAGTTCAGCCCCATCGGTTTGTGTCTGTCTCACCACCCCTTTGAGGATGTGCAGAACCTGCCATCTTCCTGGCTCCACCCTCTCCCCTGACAAAACACTGTCTTCAACCAGAAAGTTGCAAAAACACCTCATTTAGCACTAAGTACAATTCTTACTTCCTTTTTGCTACCACTCCCTTCCTTTGCCCACAGCTCGGTTCTTCTTAGGGGGAGAGGGTAGAAAAGATAAAGAGAAAAATAACTCAGTCTAGAGTCAGTGTAGCAAATGGCTGGGACAGGCCAATCATCCCAATCTCTAAAAGGCTCAAGGTTAAAAGGCTTGGAGAGTGTGTGCTGAGAGAACCTTCCCAGCTTCAACTGCAACAGTGAAAAAACAAATGTTAACACCCTGGAAAGATACCTCAGGATTCTGGGCTCGAAGTTATTTGTTGCTGTGAACAACAGGTCTGAGTGTCAGACACACTTCTACTATGTTCTAGGTCAGTGGTGGTGAATCTCTGGCACGTGTGTTGTTTTTCTTTTAAGACAAAAGATGTTAATGTATGAGTTGTTTTTTCTAAACTAAAACCTCAGTATTCAGGTTTAATTGCAGTGTTGGCATTTTGTGATAAATAAGTGGGTTTGGGGTTGCAGTTTGGATACTTTCTAAAAGGTTCTCCCCATCACTGTTCTAGGTGTTTTTCCTCAAGGAGAAACCTTTAAGGGAACAGAATATGCAAATGCTCAACAAGTGTCTGCTGAAAGAATAAATTAATTCTACTTTTGGATTGCTTCTTATTGAAAGTGCACATAATGCCAATTCCTAAAATCCTGCCTTCAAATTCTGCCTCAGCCTGGGCTGGCAGCTAACAAATTAGAATGTAGATATTTAAAGGGGCCGGGGATTTAGCTCAGTGGTTCCACCGCCTGCCTCACAAGGGCAAGGTCCTGAGTTTGATCCCCGGTACCAAAAAAAAAGAATGTAGATGTTTAGAGAGAAAGAGCAAGAGTAAAGACTAGTAAGTGAATGTGACAAAATGCTAGTATTGGTGGATCTGGATATTTCAGTGCTCATTGATCTATTCCTTTAATTGTTCTGTAGATTGTTTTTTTTTTAATCACTGCATACATGTTTGGCAGCTTATAGTTCATCACTATTACCCTTCCCTATACTCAGTTATTACATTTTAGATAATCCTCTCAATTGGAGGAATTTGAATAGGGCCTGAATGTTAGATAATATTATGGAATATTGTTAATTTTTTCTTAAGTTTAATAATTTTACTGTGGTTATATAAAGATACTTAGGAGGGCTGGGGATTTAGCTCAGTGGTTCCAGCACCTGCCTCACAAGCGCAAGGTCCTGAGTTTGATCCCCTGTGTAAAAAAAAGAAAAAAAAAAAAAGATACTTAGGGTATATGCTAATGTCGACTTTCCTTATTATGTCCTCAATATACTTTTTCCAGCCTTTTCTCTCACCACTTCCTGGGCTCCAGATCAGCTGCTTTTCTCACAAGTCCGCCTGAGAGAATCTGAAGGCTCCTTGCTTTGCTCTTGCTGGCATTCCTCAGCAGGAATGTGCTCTCACCACTTGCTTGAAAATTCAATCTCCACTATAAAACCTCCCTCAGCCCTTCCTAAATCTTTCCATCCTCTGAATTCCCACAAATGTACCTGTCTCTCAGGTCAATTATTTTTTATTTTATTTTACTAGATTGTAAGCTTCTGGCAGGTAAGGCCACCTCTTATTCATCTCTTAATTCCCTCCTGGGTTCAAACCAGCCCCCTGAACAAAGGAATCTCCTGTAAATGTTTGGTGAATTAAACCCTCTGAGATATAAGTTGAATAAAAGTCAACTGAGGTAAAGACCAACAAAGGAGTGGAAAACAATGCCCTTGTTCAGGGGAGATTTGAGAGGTCTGCCACACAGAAATCAGAAACAGTGAAAGCAATAGTTTGAAATGTGAGGCTGTATCATACTGTAAAGATACAATAAAGCTGGTCTGAACCCAGTCTCATGACAAGTTTGGGTGGGAAGCAGAAAACAGAACAAGAAGAATGGTTCATACTTATCGTGTTTAACAGTCACCAGACATTCATTCTCAGCTCTTCAGAGCAAAAAGTGTTTCTACTGCTAGCCCTGCTCCTAAGAGAAGATCAGCAGGAAGTGGGGAGGTACAGATGTTAGCTTATCAGCAACACTGCAAAGGGAGCAGCCTGAGGTTACAATTCAAAGCCAGGGCACCTGGGTTTCAAGAATAGTTCTTCCATTTACCAATCTCTTTTCAAACTTGTTTCCTCATTTCTGAAATTGGAATAGTAGGGTTGAAGATTGAACGATAGAGTATTTGCATAGTCTGGATTTGATCTCCAGCATCACACACATACAAATTGGGATACGAACAACTTGCTTAAAGTGCTGAAGAGATGAAGTGAGATCACACGGCTAGAGTGTTGGCTCCAAAAGGCAGAGATCATGACTTGTTATATTCCTGACCCTAGTCCATCACCAGCGCTAGTTATTTGACACATTTGGCTATTTGAAACATTATTCAGAGGATTATATCCAACAGCTTACAGAAGAGTTGAAAATTGTTCCAGAAAATCCTTTCTTTTTTTCTTTTTGTACCGGGGATCAAACTCGGGACCTTGCGCTTGCGAGGCAGTCGGCGGCACCACTGAGCTAAATCTCTGGCCCGAATCCTTTCTTTTTTCTGTAAATGTCTCCCTCTTTATCTTTACCTTGCTTTCAGTAACTTCCAGAGACTCAAGGAGTCTTCCTCTGGGCTGACTGACCTGAGCCAGCTCCCTCTTCCCAGGCCATTTCCCTTTATCCCGGCAGCACCTCTAAGCACTGCTTCAAGTTCAGTGCTTGCCTGTCCCTGTGCCTGAGGCTGATTTCAGAGTATCCTGTCAGACTTAAGGTGGAGTTCCCCAGGCAGAACCAAGGTTGCCTCCTCTTTCTCTACCTTATCAGGGTTTGAGGCAGGAAGCTCAAACCGGGTGCTAGCCGGGTGACTGGTTTTCCTCTTGGGAAATATTTGACTTTGAGGTTTAAGGAGTCCCCTACCTTTTTCAACTTGGTATTACCAAATTGAGTTTCATCAAGAGTGTCAACCTTGGGCTGGGGATTTAGTTCAGTGATTACACTGCCTGTCTTGCAAGCACAAGGACCCGAGTTTGATCCTCGGTACAAAAAAGAGACAAAAACAAAACAAAAACAACAACAACAAAGAATGTCAGCCTCCTTTTACAGACACAGGAACTGAGGTCCAAGGCAGGACATTATTTACGTAAGGTTTTGGAGTCATGCTTAAAGAGGAGAGGAAGCCCAACATAAGGGCACAGTATGGATGACAGGCTCAGTGATGGCGAACTTTTTAGAGCTTTCAATGACACAAACAGCTCACTGTGGCATGAGTGTCATAGGTTTGCCTCCATTGCTGAAGACAGAGGGTGAGTGAGCCAAAAATCAATTGCTATGTCTTATTAATGAATTAATTTATGCAGTACTGGCAATTGAATCCAAGGCCTCATGCATATGAGGCAATTGCTCTGTCACTGAGCTACACCTTAGCTCTGTCCTTTATTACTTATTGTTTGAGGCACTGGGGACTGAACCCAGGGCCTTCACACTAAGCTACATCCCCAGTCCTTCTTTTGAGAAGAGGAGTCTCAGTCAGTCACCAAGTTGCCTAGGTTGGGCTCAAACTTTTGATCTTCCTCCCTCAGCCTCGAAGAGTGCTGGAATTACAGGCATGTACCACCACATCCTGTCTTATCTTTTAAATTTTATTTTAGGGTTTGTGTTGGTGAGGATGGAACCCAGGGCCTCCGGCATGCTAGCAGGCTCCTAAGTTATCACTGAGCTATACCACCAGCCCTTGATATGTCTTTTTCTGGGTTTTGTTTTTCCAACTACAGTGTAGCTTTTTTTCTGAGGGAACTTTCTGCTCTCCATACTGTTTCTTGCTAGACTTTCCCATAGGCACTCTTTCAGGTCTTCAGATTTGTAACTAGACAGTGTTCAGAGAGGCTTGGAAAAAAAAAATGATCAAGGTTAAGTTAAAGTAAGTAACAAAGACTGGCCAAAGTCTTTCACTTTTCCTCTCTTTCACATGACCTCAAAAGATATAAAAATATAAAAAATAAAATCAGGGAAAAAAGTGTATAGAGCCCCTTTCTTCCACTGTGGTCTTTTAAAAGCCATGAAATACACCTATATTTATGGGTTCTTGGTTGATAATACCCCTTGGGAGAACAAGCTGGTAGCCCAGGGCCCAAGCCAGTACATCACCTTGAGAAGATAATACAGCTATTTCCATTTAGAATAGCATTTACATGAACCCTTGAAAAATCAATACTGTATTGTATCTGAAGTCTTTGTATCTTTCCTCATTTTCTCCTGGCTTATCAGTCATTTCATACTACCTTGTCTACTGGGGTATTGGTAGGTGAAAGTTAGAAGCAAAGAAAATACTCTAGGCCCATACAAA